TGCTGAAGTTGTTTGGAATTTGAGGCCTTATGCAAAGATAGGCCAGAGTCTACAAACTGCTGCTCACATGACTAGTCTCATTGGGTTAGTCATGTGGACTATTCACAAAATTAAAAATTAGCAGGATTGGGTTTAATTTGTGGTGGTGAAGGTGTGGCAGTAGATTAGGAGGGTCTTTATTTTCCAACTTTATACGATTAGACATAAGCAACTTTTTCTTGTAAGTCATTAGTCTGTGATGTAAAATGCCCAAATAAAACTATAATTGATGGCACCTTTATGTTAACTTATATTTTTGTTACAGTAAACAAATTGTTTACTTTTGCCTTTTTTGAAAGTTACCTAGAATGTAGAGCATCTGTGAACAACATAGTAATTAAGTAAGCACAAGCCTTTCACAGTTCAGTTAACGATAATTAGCTTTTATACTATAAAAGCTACTATGTTGTCCCTTGATGGTTATGTGCTCATGGTGCTTCCATGCAGAAAAATGAAATTGTAAAGCATCTGAAAAAACTGGTACTGCACCAAGATTTATAACTGGCTTTTGTTCAATGGCTGAAAAAAAGTTCAAAGCCATACTTTACAGATCCTGTCCTGCGTTCAGCTGAGCTGAGGGTGTTTGACAACGTGCCAGGAAATATGTAGCATCTTCAGTAGAACACTCAGTACATACAGTTTCTATAAACAAGGTATATGAAGTACTACAGAACTAGATGTTTATGTTCTTAGACAAACCACAGGCAACTTGGTTGGCTTTGATTGAGCTTTGCCTTGGGTCTAACCAGAGGCCATGTAAAAGGGAGCATTGTAGCTTTTATAATGCAACTGGACTATTCTACCAACTTACAGGATTACAGAGCAGGTGCTTTTTATTAATTGATAAGAGCTAAAGCTCATTTTTGATAGATAATATATATTTATTAAATGTATTAATGTGTGTTTTATAACATGCCCTTTTTTCCGCTGATTGTTGCATACTGGTATCTTATGAAGTACATCTTAAAAGGATTTTCAAGACAATCAAACCATGATGACTGTACATAAGTATACAAAACTACAAAGGTTGTAAAGCATGGGCAAATGTTTTATTTTCAAAATGCTGTTCTTAACAAGAATAAAGGCTTTACTATTTACTTACAATGTTTGTGTTGCCTTGCTGTTGAAACCCACCTAAAATGTTTTCCATTGCAGTAATTTAGTGGTGCTACAGCCAGCACTGTCCTCTGCTGATTCCATGGGGGCAACTCTGCAATATAAGCTAAGTTAAAGTAAAAGAAACTAACTCCTAGAGGCTAGGGCCACCTTCCTGCACCTTTGGCCACATTCCCACGTTTACCCTTAGCTCTGGCACCTATGAAACCCATGGTGAGCCAGTCTAGGAGCTGTGCAGCCAAACTCTTAACACTACAAGTGATGTATTTTTTTTCCAGTTGGCTCAGCAGTTCCCTGTACTGGCTCAGTTGCTAGTGCTTGTGAAAGGGAGGGGATAGGATCATACAGCTGTGGCTGAAGAATGCAGGTTGAGAGATTTTTCCTCAAATGGTTTGATTTTCCTGATGTGGAAGAACATGCATCACCAATCAGAAAAAAAAATAAGGGGTGGGTACTGGTGTAACAGTGAAGACAAAGTGATGGAAGAAATCCACATTGAATACACAGCAAGAGCTAGAGGGTAGCTGTGTTTTATCATGTTTTTATTCAAAACAACTAGACCTTTGTTTGACTTGCATGGAATTAGTAGTAGAACTGCAGATACCTTCCCTGTGAAATTTTAAAGGCCTAATTAGGACTATGCTTGACAAGTCTGAGTTTAAAAAGTTCCTTAGCAGGGGACCAAATCTGATTTTGATTCTGTTTGAACCTTATGTAAGTAAACACACAAACACAAAACCACTGAAAATGCTATCACTGTGATCCTAATTTTACACATTCCCAGCCCATGTGATAAGTGATAACAAAAGGGCCTTTGACTTTTTTCCCCTGCAGAAATGCAGAGCAGCCCTAGCTCTCCTTGCCCTCAGCTGGAAGTGCAGGAACAGAGCCTGGATGTGTGTAAAATTGTCACAGCTCTGCAGGAGCCAGTGAAGCTACTCCAGTTTATACCAAACTAAGATTTTTGCCTTAGTTTTAATACTTGCCTACATGTGGATGTAACCCCTTTCAGTACAC